TCTGATCGGTCTGTGTACATTAACGCCTAAGCAAGTCAGACGACCGTAAGGCTACTCATGACCAAAGGGCCTATAGGAAGAGTTTTACTATTGGTGAATTTATTGAGTTTTCGCTCCCATCTGGTTTCGTCTTAGGGTTCCCATGAACCCAGGAGAGGGAAGGTGGATATTCCTGTGTAATTGTTAATCGATAGCTTCACTGTTATTCCAAACTGATTCGTTGCCATCACTGTTTAGATTGACTAGTCAAACTTAAGCTACGCTGTCAAGCACACTTACCATCTGTAACGCTAGGGACTACTGACTAGTTAGGCATGCCACGCTGATCTCAAAATGCATTTATTATTTTGGAAATTCAAGCTGTGGCCCTGATTCGCATCATGAACGACTTTCCGCTTCAAGTAAAATAGGTACTTTTGAGGATTGAGGATAATATGCTCGAATTATAATTTGTGTCGTCAGTGTGTTCAAATTACTTCTTGACTTAATTTTATAGCAATACCCCCTCTTATATTTATAATGCAATTTACCATAAAGCCAGTATGAGCCTGATATTATTCCAACTCCACATTTTTGTTGTTGTTTCAACGAGCGAAGATTTGGTTATTGACCTACCTCTTCTCATACTAACATTAGGTGTTTCTACTACCACCCACACCCAATCTATTATATGATTACGTGCAAATGAATTCATTGCTAATGCTGAGATTTTTTCCAAATTATTTGACTTGGAATGGTTAATTATTTTTATTATTTTTTTAAATTTTTGATTACAGCTTGATGCCACACCGTATTTTCAGTACAAGTATGGCATTTTCAGCATGGATATCGGTAGCCCAAATTTTGCAGGCCGATTATAGATATCGGGTGTGCGTCGGCAGGGGCTCGAACCCCGGACCGTGTGCATGGCCGGTGAGAGTACTAACCACTGTGCCACCGACGCACAGTAAATTTCTGAGTTATGCAAGTGAACTGACGCCGATTTACTGCATTGACTCATGAAAGTAGCATCTCAGTCATCACATCACATCCGGTAGTTTATACTAATTTTCTTAATTGTATCTGTTGGGTGAGTGGGCTGACGACTTCGGAAGGTAGTAGGGTGAGAAGCTTCGGATGTGCATAGGCAGCATGCTCTGCTCAAGTTTTACAGCCTAGACAACATTAAATAAACTTGTAGGGGTAGAAAATTCCCCAAGATTATTGGCCATAGCATTCGTCACTGAACATTGGATCTGACCCTCACTGTTTAAGTCAACTTGTTTAGCTGGAGGTTTCCATTCAAGCATCCACACCATTTGGTATGCTGTCATGTTACGTTCGTTCGTGCACGACCTCTAGCTAGTTAGGCAATCATCTCGCATTCCGATATGGTCCCGAAATGTTATTCATAATTTGGACTCTCAGTTCTGGTGTTATGCTTTGCCTATGGTCTACGTGGAACGAATACTATAGAAGTTGTGGGTACTAGATCTTACGTTAGTATACTTCGTACTATCCTTGAACGTCAACACCCTTAGCCTCTAATGACTCCTAGGGCCGTTCTGACGTAGCATCACCTTGAACAGCGTGGAGTTTCTGATTTGGGAAGTCTACAGATTCCTGGCATATATGGAATATCACAAACTACATGTAATACAGGCAGCACATATGTTCTTGTAAGAGTTAGGCTTGGCTTGACTTAGCACTAGTTAGGAGTATTCATACAGAGATTTAGATGGCTGTTGACTGAAAGGGAACAACTTTTGTTTTCAGTCAGGTAGTTGAACGCTCAAACTATATTACCTCATAGGCGATCCTCTTTGCACATAGGATGTGTAGTTAGGACCATTGATAGCCACGGCGGTTATAAGGTATTATTGCTTAACTCAGTCGTCAAAAAGCAGCCACGTTTTTGTATTTCAATTGGCCTTCATTTTTCATGTGGAAAACGATTAACCAATGTGGTAGACAAAAGTAGGCTAAATTTAAGGCTGCCTTTTGAAGACTGTGGGATTGTGTGCAGCTGATGAGGAGAACCAACGAAATAAAGTGGATCCATATTATTTCACACCAGTGTTTGTTCTTTCTTTGCTTACCAGGTAATAATTGTTGTAATATATATATCTTATTTCACTATGGGTAAAATTTTTTGATAAAACCACACAGTGTTATGCAGCGCCAGGATCTGTCTCTCCTGAAGACGTGTTGGGTTTCATGGAGTCTGATAGCCCAATCGAGGTGCTTCCTGATGTGATCATCAATAATACTTTCCAATACTTTTGATATTATTGGGAGTAGGACTACTTGTCTATAACTTGTGGCGTTTTGCCTATCCCCACCCTGAAAATCGGAGAAAGGATGGCTCTTTCCCACTCCCTTGGCAGTTTCCCTGAATCCATCGAGTGTTGGAACGAGCCGCATGAGGGTCTACAGAGAACCTCGGATCACTGTTTCAGAGCAGATGGCTTGATGTCGTCACAACCTTGGAACTTTCCAGACATGAGTCTCTTTAGCTTCCCTTAGCACCACTGCCGGGTTTATTTGGGTCTTCCTTCAGTGAAATAGTAGTGACACCATTTTGGTCCATAACGGTAATATTCACATTGCTGTTCAACTGTTTGTGCTAAGGCTAAACTGAATGTTTCCGCCATCTCCAGACTTGTGATATATTGACCGTTTGGGCCTAATAAGGCGCATGTCCCCTGGTTGGTAGGCTTTCTTTCCGACATGAAACGATGCGGGCTTTCGGAGTCCGCCCTGAGATTTTTGCAAGGTTGGCCTGAAATGACCTCCTGTCGCTCCTGACTTTTGTGTTGCACCCGTTCCTGAGTTCCGAGTATACGTCGTGGTTGGTCCGACTCTCGCTACGTAGACCAAGCCTTCCGCTTTGCTTGCAGGATATATTGCGGATAATAGGCAGTTTTGGACGTAGATGAACCTAGTGCGCTCTCACCACATAGGCACCAACCATTAGTTTATTTCAAGGAGCGGTTTGAGGCCCGTTGCTATCCTTTACCTTTATAGACTATCTCCTGAATAAAGACAACTCTCCGTGCATGTTATGTGACCAAGTGGTTGACCATGTGTTACAAGAAGAACCAACAGAGTGTCAGGAAGACAAACCAAATCTACTATAATACTCCACTTTGTTCGTAAGCAGCTAAGGGTACTTAGGTTTGTACGACGCTATTCAGAAGTCCACACTGCAACTGCACTGTTGCTCCTCAAAATAGATGAGACCTTAGAAACGGTGGTAAGCAGGGCTACCAAAGCCATCAACTGAACTGAATTGCCACCAAATTTACAATGGTTTAAAACGTGTGAATGTATGCTCTTAGTCACCAAAGGACCAGGAACGACGTTGACTCGGTATTACATAATAGTATCACGGGGACATAAAAAAGCACTACAGTATCCCTTGTAGTAGTACTAACGTAATTGCCTTTCAGGAGGTAACGGCTAACTTCTCCCGTAGTGTTTGCGATCAGTGGAATGCACTGCACAAAGTGTCTCAGTCAATTGCTTTAGATTGAACCCTAGAACATTTTGTGGAAATAATAGGTTTCAGAGCACTTATAAGGGAGTAGGAGGTGTGTACTAGTTTTACGAACTCCCTACTTATTTTCATATGCCTGACGATTCTATTCTATTCCTTTTTTATTATCTCTATCTAACCAAACACTTTGTTTTGTTATGTTTCATTCCATGAGCATTTTCTCTCACTATCTTATCCATTTAATCCCTTATAGTTTATCCTGGCTTGCAATCGTTCTGTCCACTCACTCACCACATTACCTTACAACTGAGAATATGCAGATAATTCAGAACTCTCCGAAAATTATTGTGACACTGACAAAATGCAAAGTCTTCTGAATGCCGTGAGCGACAATTTTTAAATTTTTCTCAGGCGATTCACACCTGTCAAATTTAGAATTCTGTTACAGGACTGGACTACATAGACTCATAGCTTAAACTGAAAGGGTGTAATGTGGTACAAATTGTTACCACTTTACTTATTTAGGAAATTGCATTGGCTCCAAATGACTGGTGGCTGACGGAATGTCACCGTGGACAATGAAGGCTCATGTAGGATTTGCAACTTACATAAACTCCCAAATAGATTTGATGTCCTGTTAGCTATCGATCGAACGACGTATATAATATTCAGCAGCAATTCACTCCATCCTGCTTTATTGCTGGCTGTGAGACATGGTCATCGTGCGTGAAAAACGTAAAGATTTTGGTTGGCTGTTTTTGATCACAGGCATCGTGGCTCTATCTCCCATAGTGGGTGGTTAGACTTCAAGTGTTAGATAAGGAGTGCAAGCTATTCCATGAGGTCACGAACATGAATCGATTGAGATGGCAAGGATCTGCGCTATGCATGCCTGATATAATTTCATGAAATCCTTGACAGTTAGTTCCAGCCACGTACGAAGGTGTGGAATACGTGGTTGGAATCCTCAATATGGCAAGAATCTATGGCTTAAAAGCGTTCTGAGTGACACAGATACACTTACATAATAAGACCTTCGACATCCATATCTACAATACCCTAGTGTTTCCCATGAAAATATCCTCACTTCCTCATACTTCAGCTTATTATCATTTTTCTGAGCCTGTTTTTTCTGTTTGTCTTTTATTGTATGGCTCACGGAGTGGGGTAACTCCAACTGCTGCCCATCTTTGAAAATTTTTATACTGAAACCCGTCGTCAGTCATTCACGACTCGATTCAAAAAAATTGATTTGGGAGTGATTGTTGATGTTACTGAAAGAGTGACTGCAGAAGAATACTGATTCTAGCAGCATCTGAAACCCCATCCAAATGTCACGTTCCCTCGGAAAAATCCGTGTGTCTCCCTTTAAGTGGTCCACCAAAACTGTAGACTCAAATTGACCAATTTTGATGGAATTACTTACACTCCAGAATGATACAGGAACAACAATCACATGGATAGAAGAAATAGTATTTTTATTGTAGATAGTCCCAAATATAGTAGTATTGGACATTTTAACATGTCCTCTCCTTGGCAAGTACTGTGTTTTCTCACTCGCCAACCAGTTTATCCGTTATCAAAACTTTTAAATATAATTGCAGGTTATTACTATTTTGTGAATAACATAGTCTCTCTGTCTACACTGTTATTTTTGTAAACAAATGGCCTTTAATTTGTTTAAGTACTCTAACACCTTTATTTTTGTCACCTTGAAGGTCAGCACTCGGTTTGTATAGAAAGTGAGTTTCTGTTTATTCTCCGGCTACACAGTCAGCAGATATGTTAAGGTAGTAATAGCAAGGCATTTATCCCACGCTTTTCTTTGTGTATAACGTTTGTCCCCTCATTACGGAAATTTGTGCTCTAGAACTTTTTCAGCATATTCAGGATTAGATAACATGTTTTCTAAAGTATTCTTATGTTATGTGAGAGGCGATTTAGTGCATAAGTCTCTTGCCCACCCCCCTTATAAATTTATTTCTCACCCCTTGGGTTTAGTCAATTTGTTACAAAAAATTTTAGTATTCGATTTTTTCACATTACTTTCGTGGATTGCTTTTGTTCGAACCTAACACTTGTTCATTTTAATATTAGTGACAACTTTCGGTAATTCATATTTCACTGTCGACAAAAGAATATGTTCCTCGTGTGTGATGTAAGTAGACTCTAAATATAAGTGATACATTGAATGGATAAGTATAATACAGTTGATGAAAACCTACATGGCTGTTGTAAATCTTGTACACTGAAATAGAAATATATATTCAACTATGTGTACTACTTACCAAGCGTATTTTGCATTGACATAAAGATTTCTGAAACATTTTCACTCTGTAGAGATGTTTTTTATTTTTCGTTATTGATGAATAGAGAAACAAAGAGTTGTCCAGAGAAATACGATATGTTCTTACTGATATAATTTTCAAGTTAGACCGTAGCTAAAGGTAGTGGTATCGAAATTTCCGAGTCACTTTAGACGCATTAAAAAAATTAACGTCATATTTTCAAAGGATGAATGAACTTCAGAATGATACAAGGTTATTTATAAGCGGTTCAAGTTCTGTTGTAAAACTGAAACTGTGATTATGATAACAACACAGAAAGAGAAAACAAGGTGAAGTGTGGTTGTCCAGTCTATTTCATTAGAAATGTGGCGTATGGAAGTACCACTTAAGCAGATGAATTCTTGTAGTTATTCATTACAACAATCTACTGGAATGAGTCGCTGTATGTTTATTATAAAATAACCTAAGCGATTAAACACTAGAACAATAATTTCATAACTCAGTATATATTGGTAACAAAAGTCCAAGTATTTTGTTTTTCCTTTTCTTACTTACAGATAGCTCCAAGTTTAATTTATGTCTTATGTTGATAACACGGATAAAGTGGTTACGGACGAGCCTAGTCAAATGATACACAGCATCTTTAGCCTTCTTTATATTTTCGGTGGAGCTATTCCGTACATTCCACAATTAATAGAAATTCGCAAGTCACAATCAGTTAAAGGCTTTTCTACGCATGTTTGTCTTGTTCTCTTATTGTCCAACATTTTAAGAATATGCTTTTGGTAAGTCTTTTCTGATGTACCAAATCTTGATATTGAGAAATAATCGCTTTATTTTAAATACACCGTAAGACAAGTCATATGTATATCTAGAAAGATACCCGGTTTGTCTGGAGATATATCTAGAAATTAATGGCATACGTACATATATCACGCTTACGTAATTTGCAGTGGTAACCGAATTTAATTCCCTGAAGGATTACACCAGTATATATTTCTTGTTAAACAACTGATAATGTGTGGCCTGTTCGCAAACGGAAACCACTCCTCTAACTGTCTGTTTGACAGTGTGTAATGTCTTTGGGATTACCAACCATAAAGTAGTACTTAGTGCTCAGTTATCACTGTAAGTCATAAATCAAGGTAATACGAGAAAAAATGAATTGTAGATTTGGCTGTGAATTCATACGAAATGTAGAACTCAGGCGGATGTGTGATTCAAGTATAAGAAAACAATAGATTTAGACAATTTAACAATTAATGACACAGATGGGAATATTTGTAAGAATACAGTGTTAGTCACTGCTATATTCTTAAGATTGGAGCCCAGGAACCAGCTCAGTGTTCATACTGTCTCCGATGAGACATACTTTATTTATAAGGGGTTATATTACCCAGTAGACGGCTTGAATTTTCAGCCTCGGGTTCGGTTCATGAAGTAGAATGCTTAGGTTGATAAATCCTACCCTGAAGTTTTCAAAAAACAATCGATAAGATCCATAATTATATAGATGTGGATATTCTATCAGATGCTAATTGGGCATGCTTACTGGTGCTTACAAATCAACACTTGTGGTATGGTGATTGGATTTTGCGATTTGTCATTATGAGAGATAAAATAATATTTGTCATTGTGATCATAGATTTCAGGAATTTTTACTAAGTGAATAAATGACCAAAGTTTAAGCGGTTTTTATTCATGTACGTAAACTGACAATGATTTTACTCCTCAGATGTATATTTCTAAGTTTGAACGTTTTAAAACTGCAAGGATATCCTGCCCGACTGATAGCTGCTATCTTGACGTGGTGGTCGGGTTTGCATATCGCAATGACTAAACAAGCTACAGTGGCTGGAACTATTGTTCCTGCAGGTCCTACCATGCCAGGAAGGTTGTTAGGATAGCGATTAGACTCAAAGCAGCTACGGACTTAGTGTAAGAATTTTTTGTACACTATGCTGGGGGTCTGCGGGCGAAGTCGTACTGCTAGGGAACAGGGATGTAACAGCAGTAAAATGTTTCCCTCAGATGACCAGCATGCCAGCTATGCTGTCTCTCCACTCTGGAGAGAGGGGGTTAGAAGAGGTCCACCCCAACAATTGTACATCCCGAATTACTCTACGGTGGTCCGTAACCGGCGGTAAGTTTACTAATACGGAACCAATCCCAGAAACCAGTTCATACAAGGCTTGTGTGAACGGCCTCAAGCAGTTGTACCCTGGGCTCCTCGGTCACGCAACACTAACCCTCTTTCTGTTTCAGGTACCCGAAGACTCAGCCAACTTCCACGGTGTGGGCAGCTGGGAAGTAACAACCGCCCACACACTTCCAAGAGCACACGAAGCCTCCGAGCATCATTCTCCTTTACCCACATCACCTTCATCATCTTACTCCCCTACTACAGTTAGTACTATTCTTCAGGCTAGTGAGTCATCTTCATTTCACTCTGGGACCACAAACAATGATGAGAGCCATAGAAACACCCCTGAGAGCCTCTTAAAGCCACGTCGACAACTTCATATAGTAACATTCAACCTGCCGAATCGGACAACAGACATCACTAGCAAGAACTCTGGCATCTCGTGCCATGGATGTATGTTTTGTTTCAGAGACACGCATACAAGACTCGAGTGTGGTCATTCACTTGACCTCACCCGACCAACAAAGTGAATCTGCGAAATTCACTTTAAGTGTGTCATGAGACCCCTTAGTTAGATCGTGAGGACTCGCAGGTGTAGGGATAGCATTGAGTGTTAGGGCGGAAAAATCACTTCTTGACTGGATCCCACTATATGGTCGGATGTGTGCGGTCCGTTAGAAGAAGGAAGGATGGCGTTACCCGTCATTGTCTTTTCGTAGTCTTCAATTACGCCCCAACAGGTCGCAGTTCGGATGAACTAAAGGATTATTTCTACCTGAAACTGTCTAATTTGCTGCAAAATGCAAAACGTTCCGATGTAGCTGTTTTAGCAGGCGACTTGAATGCCAAAGTAGAAAAGTTGTGCCAGACTGAGAAGTGTGTAGGTGGTACGTATGGAGTTCTCTGCCGACGACCCGACAACGGTGATCGTCTTCTAAAGTTCCGTTCAAATAATCATTTGTTCCTAGTCAGCGACACTACCTAACCTGGTGACCTCCATCACCAAATCGGCACTAAACTCAGGTAGACCACATAGCGATAGGGTATCGTCGGTGAGGATCAGCTGAAAACTGCCGCTCTTTTCGGAACACTTGTGTAGATCCTGATCACGATCTGGACCGCGCACATTTATGCTTACATCTAAACGGACATAAGAAATTGTTGGCAGCGAAGCAACTAGGTCAAGACTCTGAATCCCTATTTAAGGAAGAAATAGCGAAGCGAGTATCTGAGGTCGACAGCAGGGCTCCTCCTGAGGAAGATTGACACAACATACAGTTAGCTGTAGACACAGCTGTAAAAGCTGATAATAACTTGAAACCTAAAGTGAGTAAGAGCGATTAGATTTCTACCACCTCATCCGAACTGATTGACACAAGAAGACTAGCTGCTCAAACGCAAACTAACAAGAAATCTTTGTAACGACCGTGAACAGTGGTGGCCGACAAAAGCGAAAGAGATGAAAAAGGCATCGGCGATTGGCAACACCCGACAACTAATTTGACTTATCAGGGAAACAGGTGGTAAAAGGCAAACGATCCCCGAGAAAAATGGCACCATAGTTAGCTCCCAGGATAGACGACTAGAACGTTGGAAAGAACACTTTAAGGAGCAGTTTAATTGGCCTACAGCCAGACTCAACTTACCGAACATCCAACACCTCCCATGCATGGGATATAGACACAGGTCCTCCGTCCCTAACTGAGGTTACTAAGGCTGTCACTAGTCTGAAACGAGGCAAAGCAGCGAGAGCAGATGGAGTGACTCCAGAAGTGTTTGAGTTAGGTGGAGACAGTCTGTCTGCGTTAACTAAGGTACTAGGAAGCGTCTGGGAATCAGAGGAAGTCCCGTGGTGTTGGTGTAAGTCATTGATTATCCCGATATACAAGAAGGGAAACAAGTCTTCCTGTGATAATCACAGGGGATTAGCTTGACTAATATGGTAGCTGTCTTAACTTCTACGATCAATAATAATGCGTAGACTGTGGTGCTCGGAGGCACAAACGCGAGAGAACCAGTCAGGCTGTAGACCTGAAAGAGGTGTATTGATCATATCTTCACCCTTCGACAGATTCTAGAACATAGGAATTCCTACCGGCGTCCGACAATCATTATTTTTCTTGACCTAAAGGTGGCATTCCATTCTGTCGACCGAGAGGTACTCTGGCGATGCTTGACTGTAAAAGGAAGGCCGAGAAAATACATTGCACTGATTAAGGCACTCTACTCATACTCATGCCGCCAAGTGAGGGCTTATGGCGAGTTATCATCTGAAGTGGTGACGACTAGTGGCGTCCGTCAAGGATGCCCATTATCCCCATTTCTATTCAACTTCATCATAGACGTACTAATGGACTAAACCCTAACTCACTTCAGCGACTCAGGGATTGACTTGCTACCAGGGAAGAATCTCGTTGACTTAGAATATGCAGATGATATAGTCCTCCGTCCTAGGTGGGGAAAACGCTGACAAAATGCAGCAGAGTCTTCTGAACAACTTGAACCGGAATCTGCAAACGTTTGGCATGCGATTCTCTCTCGCCAAATGTAAGATGATGCTACAGGACTGGACTGGACTACATTGACTCCTAGTTTAGAAATAGGGAGTGAAGTGGTTTGTGTAGCGTTTCGGCCACTTCACTTATTTGGGACGTTGCATCAGCCAGTGCCAGCGGGTTGACCGCTGACAAAACCTCAGAACAGATACAGAGGGGTCGTTTCACATATGCCAGTTTAAGCTGTCTCTAGCGTAGACGTGATATCCGGCTGGCTATCAACCGAAGGGCGTGTGTACTGCTCAACAGTCCGCTCCGTCCTCCTTTATGGCTGTGAGACCTGGCCATTGAGAGTGGAAGACGTGATAAAAGTATAAAACTTGGGCACTGTGGTAGAGCATAACTCCATTATGGATAAGATTTTATTTTGATAAATCACACAGTGTTGTACAGTAATATTAACTGATGACGTTTCGAGCATAAACTATTGCTCATAATCATATCATGGGCTTGCTTTCTGCTGGGTGAGGTTTAGTAATTCCATATTAGTTTGTTTATTAGATACATCACACAGTGAGTGAAACAGTATTATTTAATGGATGACAATGTTTCGAACAAAATTTATTTTTCATAATCATTTCATCAATTATAATCACACGACTTCGAAACTTGAGTTCTACAGTTTTCTTTGTTCTCTCCTATTTGTCGTCGGTGGGGTAGTAGAATTTTCCAGATATTTGAGTGGACAGGTGTTGAATCATTCCTATCATACGTATTCTCTCTCAGTTGATTCGATAAACTAAGCTTCTTTTATCATTCTTTCCCACTCGACACCCTGTTACATTACATTTTGAAACTGTCATCTTATCCCATCCATCCTATTGTATGGTTGTGTGTAATTGCAATCAAAAATTGTCCAATCAGGTCGTTATATAGCGCATGCATCAATCATAACCTCACGACTGACAATGATAGGCTTTCTATCCTAACACTATTAGATTAACTGTACTACTTCATTGGATGGTTTTTATTCATAAATATTCTATTACTAGTTTAGCTATACCAAAAGATATATAAAATAACATGCAGGTGAAGCCATTTATTTTCTTTTAATTATTTTATTCCTTTACGTTCCCAGTGGAACATAGGGCTTCAATCTAGAGACTTGAAGTTTAATTTTACGGAATGGGGTTGCTAGCTTCATGCTCAACCTTCCCTCTTACCAGTCTTATACTTGCTTAGCAGGGTAAAGGAGTGCATCGGTGGCCTGAGATCGAACCCCGGACCACATGCGTGGTTGGCGAGCGTGCTACCACCAAACCATTGAGGGGACTTGATCTTTTATATGGACAAGGTTGTTTCGCAGTGTGTCTGATGTTTTGAAGAAAACTCTGATGTCGAGCTTATTGAGTACACTTCTGATATCGTCTGTTGTCTCCGCTTTATATGGAATGACAACTGTTGAGGTCCATGTTTTCGGAATACGTTTTCAACCATACTTAATGTCAGTGTTGATTTTGTTGATGAAGTTCGTTGGGTACTTGTTTTGCTTGAGAATCTCAGTAATGCTTGATATTTCTTCTTCCGTTTTCAGAGAGTGTGCTCGTCTAAGAAGACTTGAAACAACTGATACCTATGCGCTGATGGGTTGTGATGATCCGAAGTCTAGTTTTTTGTTGGAGTGGGTTTTATTCCTGAATATGGATATACTAAAATGTCCGTTTTCCCTCCTCTTAACTAGGCAGTCTAGAAATGGTAGTTCACCGACGTCTGATTCTGCTTCCGAAGTAAACTGGATTCTGGGAGATAGACTGTTTATTTTCTCCAGGAATGAACTGTGTAGGTCTCGTTTTAGCACTACAAAAGTAACATCTACATATCTTAGCCATATTTTAGGAGTGAGTATGCTTGAAAAGATGTTATCTTGGAATCTACTCACGAAAAGATCAGTGACTATTGGGGAGACTGGTGAACCCATAGCAACACCACTTGTCTGTATATATAAATTCCCTGTAAATGTAAAATAATTACCTTCCAGACAGAATTTTAAGCTCTTAATTATTAACTGGTGTCCCGTGGACAACTTTGTGCTAGCGCTGTATCTGATTCTAGAAGACTGGAAATGATATCAAGACTTTCGGTAGTAGGGATACTAGTATATAATGAGTTAATATCATAACTTACCATAATGTCTTCTTTATCAATTTCTCGATGTTCTATTTTTGGGATTTGAAATCATATGAATCTTTTACAATATTTTGAGTGTCTTTTTGTAGTGGCTGTAGTATCGAAAATAAGTATTTAGAGAGGCTGTATGTCGGTGAGTTGGTGAAATCGACTACTGGTCTTAATGGAACTGTGGGTTTATGCATGTTTGGTTGACCGTAGAATTGTTTTGAGTAATTAGATACAATATTCTGACAAATACTGAAAATTCCATGCTGTATTATAAGTACTGTTTGTCTCTGAATAAAGCAGATAATTTATTATTACTATTACTATTATTATTATTATTAATTAATGAATTAATTATTGTTCCTTTTCAGGTTCGTACAACCTTTCTCCTCATCATTACTCTCTCAAAGTTTCGTCATGATTATTACAATGCTTGTCCTGATGAAAACAATCACGAAAATATCTCGTATGAAGCGTTCCGCTTCAATACCTTCGACCATCTCCACGAAGAAATCAGAAACAGAAGACCACAGTATTAACAGATTTAAAAGTAAGCCATACAAATACCTGAACAATCTGTTTATCCAAATCAATGGTGTGAAAACTAGAGCATAGGATACAATTCCACGGTTAATTGAACCACAAAAACTGATACTGGTTGATTTCGTCGCTAAGATCTGTGAAAATATCAACAAACAATTTTAGCTGTGTAGTTAGTGATAACACTGCGTATATATACATACATATATTATTCCCTTGGGTTCCTAGTAAAACATCAGCACATCTTCGCCTCATTCTGTCCCCTGCAGTCCCCTTTCTTCCCCAGTGTTGTCTGCACTGGCATAGAATTGGATTAAAAGTCAATCTGAACGAAGAATATTCTTTTCAATAATTTCTCTTCAGGTTCTTACAATTATAAAATATAATATTTGTTGTCGTTACAATAAAGGCCAGTTATGCGGCAGATACATTTTTTAACGTAGAATAACAGATTAGTTATGGGGTGTCAAAATAAATAGTCGTATTTGTGTGACAAAAGTGCTAGGCTGAATTCGATTACAAAATATTGTAAAACGGGAGACAATGGTGATTAATCATAATAGATTTGTAGAGTGTGGGGTAGGAAAATTGACAAGTCAGTTCAGGGTTATAAAAGGTGTCAGGTGAGTAAGTGGCTAGTACAGAGTGGTCTGTGTTAAACAGAAGATAGTAAGACTGCAACAAGAGGTGAAATGAATGGAATAACGAATGTCTGAAATGAAGTAACAGGTGGTGGCATATATTGAGAAAAGAGATAATATCACTAATAATAAGTCCGGATAGTAAAAACGAAAAAAAAATTCGATAGTATTGAGAGAGTGTTTGCATGAAGGGCATAAATTATGACGAATAAAAATAATAATAATTGTAATAATAAGCAAAGGAAAGAAAAACAAAGCCAAGAGGGTTAAGGGGAAGGAGCACTCTTGGTGAGAAGAAGAATTATCAATCCAAGTTTGGCCATGGTAGGAACAGCGTCTGGACGTGTTCTTTTTGGATACAAAGTTCCGGTTTGGTCGACCTTATTGCAACAGCTTCAGCCATGTGTAGAAGACGTAAGCGAACTGTGCGTGATAACGACTTCGGAATTCGGTATATAACCCTGAAAGCTGTGTTGACATCGATCTGATGTCCAGTATTGACTAAGTGTGACAGGATCGAGCTTTTTGTGCACTTAATTTCCCCCCCTGCTGAATCAAGCTGATAATTGTTTTCGAACCCGCAGACGAACATGCCTAATCGTGTTCCCTATCTTTTTTATTTTGACACCCCATAACTAATCTGTTATTCTACGTTAAAAATGTATCCGCCGCATAACTGGCCTTTATTGTAACGCCAACAAATATTATATTTTATAATTGTAAGAACCTGAACAGTAGAAATTATTGAAAAGAATATTCTTCGTTCAGATTGACTTTTAATTCATAATGTGGGAATTTTCCACACTATCAAATAGAATTGGATAATTACACCTTTCCTATCTTTACAGTTGAATCTTGCTGTCACTATCCATGGGGAAGGTCGATTGCTACCGCCTTCCATGTTGTTGCTGAAATCATAATAATTATTGCTTTATGTTGTTCGTGTTCGTCGTCTGGGGAATTAGAGTAGATTACTGACTCTCTGGTTTCAGCGAAGAATAAGTTGTTTTTTCTGTGTTAGGGTAGCTAATCCCACGCCCAACCTATCATTGTTCGGCGAATATGACGTTACTAGAAATAAGACTGTGTTATCCGAAATCCTGTACGTATTGTTCCACTGTATGTACGAGTAATTTACCTCATACAGGAATCGTTTTTGGTGGATACTAATGCATACTCGTGTAATCTACAAGTTTTCATGTTCGTTGGCGAAATCTTGAAAGAGTTTACACATGAGGCAGTTGGTGACGTAACACCTGGCTGTCTATGAAAGGCTGTATGTGTACTGCACAGCGGTTAATTCTGACCTGTTCATACTTGTGAGACATAACCACTAGAAGGGAACGCTCTCCAGTGAATTAATTACTCAGTTTACGTGGAACAGTATGGTAAACAGTGTCGGATATGCTAGGTAAAGTCAAGCAATTCGGTTGTAAATCTTCCCCCAGCTGAGGTGTCTTAGATTGGCATCATGTTTTTCTTTTTTACTGGCTTTTCTCAGTGAGCGATGTTAAATGAAGTAGGGTTAACTCGGAGATTGAAATTTTTATTAAAGTAGTACTTAGCGCACAAACCTCGGAGATTGCAACTGACAAAAATAAGAAACAATTCAAAGAGAGACTGGTGTAGATATGTTCAAGATCGGGAAGATGTGTAGAGGTGAATACAATTGTGTCATGGTGAACGAGGTAGAAGTAATTGGTCGTTGACTGTTAGTTTGAGGCGAAAGGAGGTGTGTAAGAAGTTCCTTTGATGCGGTTCTGGGGTTACTACAGGAGCTAATGGATTGAGACAGTTTTGGTGGAAGTAATATATAACATTCATTGTGACGCAGTTGTATATTCATCTCACATTGTTTGGCAAGCTGTACTTGTATACTTCTGTGATAAATTCTCTTTTGATGCACCAGTTTTCCCACAAGTTATCTGCATCAACCTACTAACATATTCAGTCAGATGTTGATAGGTATGTGTACTCTGTTGAACCATGAACTCATGAGTTAGGTCTGTTATAATGGTGGCTGAATGTAGACTTTATATTTCCATTCTTGTTCTAATACCAATTTATGCATGGAATTGGGTTCATGGTTTAGATCTGGGTTCATACCTTACTTTGTTTTAAAAGGAATGCATGGAGGATTTCATCATGAGCTGACATTAGTTAGAGAACCACTGGAAAACCTGCAGGGAGTACTGGACAGCTGTTTCCGTCGCCCTAGTTTGGGACTCTTCCGCAGTATGCACACACCGCCGGGGTTTTGAACCCAGGACCTTCTGGTTACAAGGGGAGCTAGCTCGTAGACTATTGAGCCACTGGGACCCACCCGATCCAATGGTCCTCTAATTCTAACTTCTGCCAATTCACGACATAATGCGACCATTTCGCAATGTCTTCTTCGATGAGTTACTGCCTCATCTTCAACCTGCTGTACCCTACTGGTCAGGGCTTCTCACTAGAACCCCAGGTTAACTGCCTGAATAGGGCCAGTCGCTAGTGGACATCAGATTAAATCAATTTCAGCTCATGATGAAATCCTCCATGCAATCAAACAAAATCCCTACAAAACCAATACTTGAAAATAAAGAAATTTACCAATCTAGTGGTTACACGTTTGTTAACACTAATTAATCAATATCAACATGTCAAGGAGTGGGAATCATCAATCAAGAAAATTAATGCGACAGTTAAAGGTGATATGCATGAAATGCGTGGAAATATTTGCTTAATTTTGGAAAAAATAATTAAGGGGATTAAACGAGAAATGAATGACTGTCGAGCTGATTGGTTACGTAACAGAAGATTACAGATGTAGTAGGTAGAATACTAAGAAAGAATAATACTAACTTGTAAATGGTTTAGGCGAAGGGGAAAAATGTCAGTTTTTGTTTATTTTTATTTTGCATTCATGTAATGATAAACTGGTGTTACCTTGACCCATCTATATCGATTCAATGTTGACTGTTATACTCAGTATTTATGATAGTTACTTGTGTGTGTGTGTGTGTGATCAGAATGTCCGAAATCTGGTGCATAAACACATTAAGCGTTTTATATATGAATTTTGTCACCTTATACATTTTATCAAAGTTCACAAAGGCGACTAAATTTTTATGTTGTGTATTTTGTATTTTTAAAGTTGTGCTTCATGTGTTTGGCTATTCGAAGATCAGACGGGTTATAGATAGATAGATAGACAGCCTATGCCCTGCAGTTTTTGATGGAGACATATGGATCTTCGGGCAGGACTTCAAGGCTTCTTCGCAGTTGAGTGGCGTTCAAGATCGGTCAGCGATGAGGCTGCTACTTGGGACGCTGCTGGGAGGTTGGGAGAAAGCAGCATATGAAAGTGTGAGGCAAAATACCTACGAATGCGCGACAGGGTCAGGCAAACAGTTTCCAAAATGGGAAGGACCACATATGGTCACGTTGAGATGGGGTTACGCAGACACAATCACAATGGTAAACACAGAGAAACAGGTGAACATCCGCAAGTGCCGAGATTCCAGACAGTAAGACAAAAGAGCAAAGCCCCAGGAACCAAGAAGACCGAACCAACTTCAGTCGCAAGTCTTTGACGGGGGGACGAGTGTGGTGAGAGCTGGCTGCTAGCCAAAGTTGGTAGACAGTAACTGACGTCAATGTTTATGTCCCCAATATTGGTGGTGAGAAAATGAGAACAAAGGCTTTGCGTAGGCGGATACAGTTAGTATATGGATGATCTGACACAGCCACAAAGAGATGCAAGGTTAACTTTCTGTGAGAAACAACCAATCAAAAGACTGTATTTTCTACTAAGAATAATCTACAATAATGTACATCAAAATCTATAAATATGTGTTGATTTTCCTTAATAAACGGTTTGTTGCCTAGCCGTTGTCTTCTGTCTGTCTGTCTGTTTTCGACATAGAACTTTGCACATATGTGAGCCAGTTCAAGTCGCCACACTCCATGTAGCACACAAAGGAAGAGAAGAAAGTAGGAGAAATGCATAATATAGACAGTAAATAGAGGTATGAGACAAAGGAGTAGTAATAACGAAGAACGAACAGTTTCATCGGAAATCATAAGTCACAAGGAGTGGATGCATCTGCGCCAGCCATTGAGAACGATCACTTTGAGCCATGTCACCAATTGTTTCCAACCATTGGTTTTTACCGTCCCGAGGACCCCAACCAGGAAGTCTACATCTCCCTACGTGACTTAGACTAACTGTTGTGGATTTCATTGACTGGTGCCAAGTTTTCGTTTGACCGCCGCTAGCTCTTTTCCAGCCTGACCCTATATCAGCTAACATTGCCCGTCGAGGAAGGCGATGACTAGGCATACGTAACACATGTCCTAACCATCTCAGTCGATGTAATTTCACAGTCTCATCGATTGATTTCCCCTCCTTCCCTAGTAATCGACACCTAACCTCAATATTTCTCACCTTATTATACCACTTCACGCGGGAGATGGAACGCAGACACCTATGATCGAAGACAGCTAATCTTTTCATGTCTTCTGCTCTCAATGGCCAGGTCTCACAGCCATAAAGGCGGACGGAGCGGACTGTTTAGCAGTACACCCGCCCTTTGGTCGATAGTCGGATATCGCGTCTACGCCAGAGACGGCGTAAACTGGCGTATGCGAACCTAGCCCTCTGTATTCGTGCCGAGATTTCGCCAGAGATCAACCCGTTGGCGCTGATGGTACTTCCCAAGTAATTGAAGCGGTCAACGTGCTCTACCACTTCACTTCCTATTTCTAATCTAGGGGTCGGTGAAGTCCAATCCTGCAGCATCATCTTACATTTTACAGGGGCGAATTGCATGCCAAACATTCTTAGATTGCAGCTCAAGGTGTTCAGTAGACTCTGCATTTTGTCAGAGTCCTCGCCTAGAAGGACTATATCGTCCGCATATTCCAAGTCAACGAGATTCTTCCCTGGTAGCAAGTCAATCCCTGAGTCGCTGAAGTGAGTTAGGGTTAAGTCCATTAGTACATCTATGATGAAGTTGAATAGGAATGGGGATAATGGGCATCCTTGACGGACGCCACTAGTCGTCACCACTTCAGATGATAACTCGCCATAAGCCCTCACCTGGCTGGATGAGTTCGAGTGGAGTGCCTTAATCAGTGCAATGTATTTTCTCGGCATTCCCTTTACAGCCAAGCATCGCAAGGTGGTCATCAGTAAACATATTACTGTATAACACTGTGAGATTTTTATCAAAATAAATTTTACCCACAATGAGATTATACTCTACCACAGTGGACACGTTTTATTCTCATATCAAGAATTATTTTTAACTGTAGGAGCTCCATACAAACTTGAATACACTTCAATGACTTTACAGAATATGCTTATTTGATGATATTTGCTTAGCACTGCAAACGGTTTTTGTGTGTTGTTTTTTTGTTGTCCGTTTATTGTTTGATCTAAAGGTGACACCTAATATCTTCATCTTAGTTGTGTGTATTAATGGAATCCTGTCAAACAGAGAACAGTTCACCACTAATGTAGATTTTTGACCGATTGTTAAGGTAGACGGGAAATCTTAACTCCAGTTAAAAGATTAACTCCGTAGGCAGAGTCTTCACTTATAGGGGAAAGCATAATTTATGAGTTAGTACTTAATTCTTAAAACTATTATACAAAAGAAAAGATCAACAAACGTTATTAAAATTACGAAGTCTTACAGTTTATGCAGACAGTTTATTAAGTATACAACAATCAAAGCATACAAGACAAGGTATTCCTGTAATGATAAAAATGGGAATAAACTGAAGATATTTTTCGGTAACGTATTGAATAAACAAGAAGGAACGAATGAGTTTTTTTCTCTCATGATAATGCTCACCTCGTAACCTGAAGGTTCTGGCCTCGACCGTCGGTGGGATCGTGAGTGTACACTACTCAAAAAATCCAAAATGGTACCAAATATCCGTTCAGTATTACCCAATTTTCAAGGGTCCTCTAACATGAAATCAAATAAGCCCCTGTAAACGAGCACTTGGGAATTATTTTGATTTACAGTTAGCAGTGCTCTCTGAACTGGTTGGATTTTAGTTGCGGAGCTTTCGTCGTCCTTCTGGACAACATCCCCTTTCAGTGCAATTTTAGGCATAAAGTGAACTGATTTAAATTTTTTCCATGGGTGGTAGAATTGCGTCTCCCGGTAACCATCTTTACATCTTTATTGATCATTTTTTATTGATTTGGATCGTAAACCTTCTCGTCAAATGATTTACTTCTTATTAGTTGGTATATTTCGTCTATATTAACGTGTTTGTTAATCACTAATTCGTTTGAGTACCAGGCTTCTAGGAATTCCCTGACTGCACTTTTGGTGTTTCCTCTGTCTAAAATTTTGACATTATCCCAATCAAACTGATGTCCATAATTATCTACATGCATTGATATGAAACAGGAATATATATCATGTCTTTTCACAGCTGATTTGTGTTCTTGGATTCTGATTCGAAGGGGACACCCACTTTGACCAATGTAATGTCTATTACAGTTCATACAGCTAGAATATTGAAACCATTTGAAATAGATATAGCACACAGGCCAGCCAACACAATCACTTCATTCGATATTGTGCTAACAGAAAGACACGTCCACCAGAAAAGGGAGATAAAATCAATACCGTTTACAAAGTGAATTGTATGAACTGTAATAGACATTACATTGGTCAAAGTGGGCGTCCCCTTCAAATCAGAATCCAAGAACACAAATCAGCTGTGAAAGGACATGATATGTATTTTTTCAAATCAATGCATATAGATAATTATGGACGTCAGTTTGATTGGGATAATGTCGAAATTTTAGACAGAGGAAGCACAAAAAGTGCCAGGGAATTCCTAGAAGCCTGGTACTCAAACGAATTTGTAATTAACAAACATGTTAATATACGCCAAATAGATCAACTAATGAAAAGTGAATCATGTGACGAAAAAGTTTAAAATCCAAGTCAATAAAAAATGATCAATACAGATGTAAAGATGGTTACCGGGAGACTCAATTATATCCCTCATGGAAAATTTAAATCAGTTCACTTTATAAGACAGAAAGATTGAGCGAAGAAATATTTACTTTTCAATTAGATCCTCATCTCTGGCTCTACTCTAATATATATATATCCATAGCATTATTTTTATTACAATACACAACAAAAAATTTACCAATCATCAAGTGGCACTGATATGTTTGTTAACAATAATTAGTCACTGTCAAAATGTCAATGGGTTGATAATAAACGAAGAAAATAATAGAGCTACGAATAGATCTTGTTTGTCCCTTGCTTAACCATGTTGGATGATGTTCGGAAATACGACGATGAACTTGCCTAATTGTACGCCCAATGTAGCTGGCTCCGCAGCTGCAGTCAAACTGGTAGACACACATAGAAGAGGCAAAATTAGGTAGTTTATCCTTATTTCTCGAACATAGAATAGGGGTGGTTTTGAAGAGACAACGTACCTCTGCTGCGTAATACGCTCTTTTAACTGCATTCTTCAAGCTGTGTGTTATGATTTCGCCGATGTTGTCACCGAGGAACTGCAGTTTTTTGAACATTGGTTTCCTCGGAACTGTAGTCATACTGACTCTCTTATGTGATGAATACATATTTTTCTCAATGAATTTATCTGGATAACCATTTTTTTCTGAGTAATTCTCTAATAATCTTAAGCTCCTCATCGTTATTTAATGCTACTGCTAATAGCGTTATCAAAGTAGCATTATTAAAGGAGAATTTACCAAATCCACTCAGCTTATATTATGCAACACCTTAATCATCGTTCATCAGACTGGGGTAATTTTTGCGTTGTTGTCAAATTGGCCAATTGGTAAAAATAACAAAACCAACTGTGCATTGTTATAAATGATAAGCGTATAAAATTATAAAAGCTTGAAATGTGATGCGATTTACATCGGACATACATCGCTAGAGAGAAATCAAAATGAGAAGATTTTACACACTTATCAAATCCAAAAGTCATTTACACACCTGGTTTTGTTATCTTCACCAATCGGTTAATTTAGCAGTGGGAAAGTGACCCCATACTGATGATTAAGTTGTTGCATAATATAAGGTTAGTGGATTTTGTAAATTCTGGTTTAATAATACTATTTTGATAAAGCTATTAGCAGCAGCATTAAATAGTGAAACGTCAGTAAAAACAATATCGTTTTGTTCCTCATTCATTCATTGGGAAATACAAAAAGAACTTTTATTATAACCAATATCCACATACCCAATGCCCAAATTTTTTCAAACTGTTAAAAATGAACTTGATTCACAGCTCATTACACGAACCAATTTATGGTTACCCTTGTTGTATGTTGTACTTACGGTTTGGTTATAAAATGTCTTTTTATGAATCCAATCGTTCAGTAGTTTCTATTCCAATTTATTGCATCATTGGACTTATTCGTATTTCTATTTTGTATAATTTGATAACAAAGGCAAAAAATTGGAGACTTATATTTCCTTGTTTCTCTATTTTTCTCTTCAAATTATAGAAATTTTGTTTGAAAACTTTTGGCGATGGACACATTTTCGTCATTATCTTTTATTCCTATGGCTATTCACGCTCACCTCTGGTCTATGCACGTATATCTTCTCATTCAGTCAAGTGTATATCCAGTTATTAGGCTTTAGCGCCTTGTTTATTGAAGCTATGCTGGGTGCACCACAATTTTTAGAGAATTATAAAAATAAATCAGTTGTTGGAATGAGGTGAGTCGATTATTTAACTGGATGGTGAAGTTAATTGTGAGGAGAACAAGGCCAAAAAAATTTTTTTCTGCTTAGCAATTATGTAAACTTTCAAGTATTGGTTTTGTAGGATTTTTGTTTGATTGAATGGAGGATTTCATCATGAGATGACATCAGTTAGAGAACCACTGGAAAACCTGCAGGGAGTACTGGACAACTGTTTCGTCCTAGTTTGGGACTCTTCATCAGTACTCACCCACCACCAGGGTTCGAACTCAGTACCTACTGGTTACAAGGCGAGCTTGAAGACTATTGAGCCACTGGGACCCCATCCAATGGTCCTCTAATTCTAACTTCTCCTAATTCACGACAAAGCTTGACCATTTCGCAATGTCTTCTTCGATGAGTTACTGCCTCATCTTCAACCTGCTATACCCTACTGGTCACGGCTTCCAGTGGTTCTCTAACTGATGTCAACTCATGATGAAATCCTCCATGCAATTATGTAAACACTTGAAAGTACTCTTCCTTTATTCAGTGGAACAGTTCTCGGTATTTTTTCATGTCCTCCTCTGATATATTTCTGTAAGTATCTGGTATCTGGTATAACCGAGTGTTACATACTCTTTGTTTGACGAGCAATGTCGGCTGAAGTGGGTTCATGTAGTGGTAAAGCTGGCGAATTCATAATGGTGGCGAATAGGCATGTAATAAGAGTAAGGTGTTTCCTTTGGACGACCAGTAAGGCAGCTATGCTGCCTCGCCGCTATGGGGAGGGGACTGGAAAAGGTCGGCCTTTAAAATCACAAATCCGGACTTACTTGCGGTGTTCCGTAGTCGGCGGTTAGACCTTAACATAGATATGACTCCGAAAACCACTTAAAACAGGCTGCAGTTATCTCCTGCACTCTGCGGTCACTCAACACTAATGCTCCTTCTTTTTCAGGAGTTTCAAGTGGGGAAACCAGCTTCCATAAAAACACACGAAGCTTTCCGGATCATCACTCACCTTCACCTTTTCGCTTTACTCCTTCTGTTAGTACAACCTTCTTTTAACTCTGCGATCATCAGCACCAACCAGAACCGAGAAAATATGCTACTAAATTCACATTGTAGCACTATGTGTCCCGACCTCATGTACATCTGACAACAGGTCTCACCAGCTACAAATCTGGCATCTCTAGCTGAGGTACTCTGTTGTGTTTCGGTTATTCACTTAACTGCATCTGGTCAACATGAGTGTGGGGCGATTCTTCGGCTAGTTTGTGTAGAGTTGCTGGTATAGGAATAATAATCAAGACTTAGGTAAAGACATTGGATTGCAGTAGATACTCGTATGTATGCTGCTCGGTTAAAGGGATTGGTGATATGAAGGGAAGATTATGATAGGACTCCTGCTTTACTTCGTCCCAACTACAATCGGTTGGTTAATTGATGCAGATTTCGAAAAGACATAGTTTGCTGCTATAAGCGAAGCTCCCAGATATAATCATTGTAGCAGATGAATGACTTCAGCGCCTAATTAAGGAACCTGTGCCAGTCAAGCAATAATATTAGCGGCACTTACAGAATTGCATGATGACGGACCAACAGCGGTGATAGTCTTGTACACTTTCGTTCAGATACTCGTTTGTTCATGTGTTAAGCCTTAATTTCAAACATAACGAGAAGCATCTCCTTACCTGGCAATCTCCAACATCAAATCAACGATAGTCTCAATTAGATCACGAACTATAAGCTATCGATGGAAAAGACTCATTTCCCTGTGGAACTCACACTTGAAATCGGTTTACTCACTAGTTGGCTCAAGTATATTCCTGCGAGTGGACAGGCATAGAAAGCAGGCAGCTGTGAAGTAACTATACTCTCAACTTGATGAGTCCACAAAGTCTTTATTCAGGGGAGAAGCAGCTAAACGCGTATCCGCACGAATATGGGCTGACTGAAAGTCGTCTCAGAAACCCTGAGCAGTGGGGGGGGGGGGCGAAAAAGACAAAAGAGATTGGAAAGGTGGAGAGTTGTAGGGAACATTTTAATGGGCTGATGAGAGCTAGCTGGTTGACAGCCACACTAAACTTGCCCAGCAAGCAACCAACACCTACCTGAATTGGGATTTAGACATGCATGCATGCATACATAGTCCATCACGGGTTGCCAAATGCCTGCATTTTTGTTTTATCTCACCACTTTAGTACTAACGGATGAGACTCTGACTAATGATAGCGAGTTATTAAGTGCTTATGTTTCCCCATGTGATTACTCCTCCTCCCATGCATTTCCGCACATTCTATTTCCTTTAATTTTTCTTCTCCAAGTTTGTCTGCTACATGGAGTGTATCAGCTTGGAATGGTGCACTTTCGTGCAATACTTTACCTCTGAATCCCAGCCAATGCATAAAGTAAACTCTTACTTCATAATACGTGAATATAGCTATACTCTTGTGCGAAGCTTCACGATGTTTTGTCAGTTTGAAAAAATTCGCCCTCTTGTCTTTGTGTTGTCACTTCCCGTTGAGTTGATATTACAGTTTTGACAATCGGGTTGTAAAGTGTTAAGCTGCAACTGAAGCCTTATCAGTTGTCACATAATCACTAGGCCATAAAAGTGTTTCAAACACGCTTTGGTAACACCAACTGTGTGAGGAAGCCAGGTAATATATATAACATTGACGCATACACACATAGTACTTGTGACAGAGTTACATTGTAATATTAAGTTTTCATTTAATTACTTAAAACATCATATAGAAAAGAATATCCATAATAGTGTTGTTAGTCGAGCACTTTCTATCCTAGTTAAAATACATTTTGCTATCTATCATCTTTATTAAGTGCGCTTGATCAGAGATAAAATTCATTATTAAATAGTATTCACAGTGTGCTTCTTTTAAAGAGTACTTTCTTGTCTCTCTCTCTCTCTAATGGTCGTGTGCGCGCGCGTGTATGTAAGCTTGTGTATGTGTGTATGTGTATGTTTGTGTGTGTGTTTATCGATCAGATGGAATTCTCTAGTTTAAATATTTTATCTACTTATTTAACAATTTTGATAGTACACGAAGTTATTTTGTCGTGTACTTTATATAGTGTTTTTTTTGTTATTTGATTGTGAAAAGTGCAATTGCATGGTGGTTGGATTAGGTTTAAGCGTTATGATTTCTGAGATGTGTAAATGCATGCACTTAATTAGCTTCATAACTGGAAAACCAGCTAATTTCACTCAACAACTACTACTTACAATTCCATACACAGTTGACGATGAGTCACACGTCTGTAGGCGGAGCTGGGTTCGAACTTGTGACCCTTTGGTTGGCAAGTCCAGTGTTTAGTCCAACCAGCTGCGGCTCCACAATACTTTATTCTGGTGATGAGGTGTTTGTTTATCCGACCACTTATGTCTTTGGATTATGGCGACAACTTTTCTGCACTCTTTTAGTATTGTTGAATGTTGACGTTAGGCATAGAGTGTTGGGTAAAGTGGGAAAATCAATCGACGAGGCTATAAAGTCACATAGATTGAGATGGCTAGGTCACGTGCTGTGCATGCCTAGCCATCGCCTTCCCCTCCCGACGGGCATTACTAGCTGATATAGGTGCAGGTTGGAAAAGAGTAAGTAAGTGGTGGCCAAACAAAAACATGGCCTCATCAATCCATGAAATCCTTGACAGTTAAACTGAGTCAGGTAGGGAGATGCAGACTTCCGGGTTGGGGGCCCTCGGGACTCTAAGAATCAATGGCTGGAGACAGGTGACATGGTGACATGGCTCAAAATCGTTGTTAATGGCTTACGCAGATGTATTCAGTCTCTGTAATCTTTCATATTCCTTTCTACCATTACTCATTCTGTTTCACTCTTATACTTGTCAAAACTCTATTGATTCTCTTCACTCATCTTCTTGTCTACCTCTGTGTTCTAATTTCGAACGTGGCAACTCGAACTGGTGCACTGTGGTGAATCCAGACAGACAGACAGTTAAATGATGTAAATTAAACACCAAGTATAAATCGTGAGATATACCCATTTAATTCATAAGGAAAAACACTGTTTTTTTTGTTCGGCGAAGAAATATCTCTTTTCAATGACTTCATTTGCAAGCTGTACAGTCGTATTTACATTACAGAAAGCGGTATTAAGTGGCACTAGAAATTGCTCAGTCAATGTTGCACATATGATAAGAATTTTTTTATTCCTTTACGTCCCCAGTGGAAAATAGGGCTTCAAGCTAGAGGCTTGGAGTTTCTGTAGCAGTGTTTATTATTTTTTTTACAAAATGAGGTTGCTAGCCTCATGCCCAACCTTCCCTCTTTACCAGTCTTACTACTGGCTTAGCGAGGTAAAGGAGTGAGTCGGTGGCCGGGGATCGAACTCCAAACCATATGCGTGGTCGTCGAGCACTCTGGTGGTGTGCCACCGACGCACATGACTAGAATAAAGATAATTAAAATGGTGTACTAAGGGGGTAGACTTGAAGTGTGTGAATAACAAAACTTTTTAAGATTATTATATAAGTGAATGTTGAAAATGATAACAGTAAAGACGGCGAAGATGAAGTGAATTGAGGTGAATTCAAGTGTGTCGCTGTCAAGCTAGACGACGACTGCACAAACTAGAAAGTAAGACACCGTCATAACAGTGGTCACCATCGTCAGTAAGCTAACTGCTTATCAACTTTTGGTATTAAGTGTAAGCAGTCAGTCAGTCGGTAGCAGGGCTCAGAATTGGATTTTGGACTTGTTCTTACTGATCTAAAAGTCATTTTATGTACTTTGAGGTGACCTATTTATCATCTTCGTGATTCGAAATGATATCTTAATGCTGTCCAAGTGAATCTTGGATATATGAACCAACTCATTTAGGAATCAAGAGCACAAGTAAGCAGAGAGATCTCTTTCCGTATCGTCTCTTCAAATCTCTACAGTTGTTTAGGGGCTTATGCATACAGTGTTAATAAGCAATAAAGCTCAGAGGTTATTTACTGTCAGTTAGTAGAAATAAAATAATTAATCAATGTATATGAGGGATGGTTTGTATGTACTTACTTTACTTTACTACGGCTATCTCCTACGGGAGGATGAGCCGGCTTCATGAACATCTCGAATCATCGCTGCCCAGGCGCGGCGATCTGATGCAAGGTTTTGCGACAGGGTTATCCAATTCTTGTTCCACAGACGGAGTCCGTAGACGGTTTGTAGCCCCAGGCACTCCATATCAGCCTTGACTGTACCAAGCCATGTTTTCAGCTGTCCACCCCTGCGACATCGCCAAGATGGTAATGGTGAGGGATTTAGAACTGATTTGACCAGATCGTCATCTGGTCGGCGCAGAACATGGCCAAACCACCGAAGGCGACGTTGTTGGACCAGTACTGGAATTTGGTTGATGTTGTAGCAACGACGACGCACGAGAGTTCATGAAGTTTCATGGGAATTTGGTACGAGTGATGTCCCCAGAATCGCTCGGCCTTTTGTTTGAGAGTGCAGCTCTAGCCTTTACACAACCAAGTGTGACCTACAAGGCAGTAGGAGTGGAGTAGGGAGTCCACTATCTATTGGCAGCCGGTGACCGGAGTTCGGTTCATACGCCTTTTTGAATGGGGCCAGACATCCAGGACATCCAACAAGCCCTTTGTCCATACGTCTGCCGGTGAGCTCCAGTGAGCTTCATACGCCAGTCGTTGGAGGTTTGGAATCAGGGTTTAGCCATCTCCCCTAGACTGTCATCCAATGGACAGTCAACCCGGTGAAGAGCGCCGGGCATCCGCTTTCGCCCTCTCACTTTGGTGAAAAACACCTCCGCCACGTGAAGGCAGTGAGTAGGACTTCCTCAGGAGAGGCTATGTAAGACGCCCAGTCATATGGGAGCATTTCAAGAGGTGTGCGGAGGGGTGGCCAACCCGCAGCGCAAGGCACCCACCCCCGACCATCCTGAGGCTTTGGAGGCAGTTTCAACCAATGCATCAATGGTAAAAATCCTATCCCATTCACAGAAGTCTAGACTATTATTATTATTATCATTATTATTTTTATTATTCTCTTAGGTCTCAATTGGAGCATAAGGCTTCAACAGCACAATTCCATTTCATCCCGTTTTCTGAAGTCGTATTTAGCCGCCGCCAGCCACGATTGCTCATAAGCTTTCATCTCCCCCCCATATGATTGGTGTCCTCCATGTCAACCTAGCACCTACGCTTAACTGTTTGTTTTCCATTCCCGCTTCGACTCTTACGGCTTGGCCTGTGACGTCACTTGGTGGTCCAAGGCTTCCTGTGGTCAGTCGCCTCCAACAATCTTCTAATAGTGTGATCAGTGTTACGCACCCTAGAGAGTTGATTACTAGTTAAGTAAGTAAGTTTGGAAATTAATAAGAAACAAGTGGACAAAGAATTGAAAAGAAATGGGTTACAGGCGGGGTGATGCTTACTTTTCTGTTTATTGGCACAATTCTTTGTCTTATTGTCCCATGCCAATTATTTCCAAGTAGCTAACTAATCAAGCGTCAACTCTCTCTCTCGATTATGTAACAACATCATCCACACTGTGTTTTTTCCACATTATCATTTCTCGTATACTTTGATTTATAAAACACAAAATAATCGAGCAAAGAATATTCTTTTCGATAAATTCCTCTTCCAGGCTCTACAATTATATATATGTTTATATACACAGAATATTTTAAATTAGTAGTTAATAACAATATTAGTGTTTTTTAAATAATATCGATTTGTAAAGTAAGATCACAATGGAATTACAGTTCATTAAAGATGCTTAAATCATAATAATAATAAAGATATAACAGCGAATAGAATATCAACTAAAATTAGGGAAATTTCACAAAGAAAGTCTGGATTATTCAAACCTGGATGGCCAAGGTAATGATGATAATGACTGAACTAACTTCTTTTGGATGCATAAATTAGGCTTATTAATATGGATCCCCACAGCCAGCCTCAGTAATGTTTAGTAGTCGAACTCTTAAGGCAAAATTGAGGTTCGTAGGTATGCGGTAAATCACCCTGAAAGCATGGTTAACGTCAATCTTGTGTTCTGTATCCACAAGATGAGATAGAACAGCGCTGCGAATAGACTTTGTTTGTCCTTTGCTTAACCACTAAGCAGGGTGGTTGTTCGGAAATTCGACGAGAAACACGCTTAATTGTACGGCCTATGTAACTGGCTCCACAGGAGCAGCAAAGCAAAGGTCAAACAAAATCTATTCGCAGCGCTATTCTGTCTCATCTGGTGGAGACAGAACACAAGATTGACGTTAATCATGCTTTCAGGGTCATTTGCCGCATACCTACGAATCTCAATTTCGCTTTAAGAGTTTGACTGCTAAATATTGCTGAGACTGCTGTTGGGATCCATATTAACAAGCCTAATTTATGCATCCAAAAGAAGTTAGTTCAGACATTATCATTACCTTGGCCATCCAGGTTTGAATAATCCAGACTTTTTGTGGAATTTCCCTAATTTTAGTTGATATTCTATTCGCTGTTATATCTTTATTATTATTATGATTTAAGCATCTTTAATGAACTGTAATTCCATTGTGATCTTACTTTACAAGTTTATATTATTTGAAAAGCACACTAATATTGTTATTGACTACTAATTTAAAATGTTCTATGTATATAAACATGCATATATAATTGTAGAGCCTGGAAGAGGAATTTATCGAAAAGAATATTCTTTGCTCGATTATTTTGTGTTTTATAGATGTCTGAATGAATATTTTTGCAATACTTTGATGTAGTTTATTTTTCACCAACTGACAATAACTCAACATTTGATGCCTGTCAAAGGAAAAGGGAATTATTCCTAGGCATCTTTGTGTAGGCGTTCCGGTTTTAAGTCAAGCAAGATAGGTGAAAACAGCAGGAGAATCCAGTTGTTAATAATACTGCATCATCACAGTGTGTGTATGTGTGTGTGCGATATTTATCATCAACTTATTTGATAGGGAATTACATTTTCCTACAGTGCCCAATTTCTAAACATACGCTAGCTGACAGTAAGTAACCTCTGAGTTTTGTTGTCAGTTCACATTGTACGTGTGTAAACCCCTGCAATAGGACTGACTGTGCAGCTTTGGAGAGAAGCTTATGATAACATATCTCTTTTATTGGCTGTTGTTATTGTTTTTTTTTTCGACTGTCAACTGCAGAGCATCACATTCACGCGTAAACAGCTTAGAATGCAGAAACTTACTGATAAGCGCCATACTATTCGTCAATAATTGATTGATTGGCTATATATAACATAACAT